GGGGTTTCACCATGTTGACCAGGATGGTCTCGATCTCTTGACCTCGTGATCCACCCGCCTCGACCTCCCAAAGTGCTGGGATTACAGGCTTGACCCACCGCGCCCAGCGAAAATATTTTTCTTTAATAGAAGAAACCTAACAAATCTATTACATTTTAAAATGTATAGATCTGATCTTATAGTCGCATCTCAGTGAGCCTCACATCCAAGAAATTTCCAGACAGTTTTTTAAAAAAGATCTTTTATTATACAATCCATTTTCCTTTAATTTGAAGGTTAAGTCATGTTCTGTTTAAGACAAAAAGATGGAAACACAGAAAGTTTAAGTGTGATCCATTTATTATTGTTGCCACTTATGGGTAAATTCTTTAAAGTCTCCTTAAATCCCAATGATGCTTTTACACTTGTAACACATGTATCCGCCTCTAGCTTCCCTGTGCTGAAATGTTTGGCATTGGAATGTGAGGTATCTCTCAGGAAACAGAGTGGTAATGGATAGGATGAAATGTTTGAGAGCTCATGATATTCACTGTGAAATACCACTAGATATAGTCCTTCATTGTATTCAGAGAGTTTGAAGTTTCTGATTTTATGTAAAACAGAAAAAGCAACACAAATTACATAAAATTTAAGTGCAATCAAAAACAAAAATATACGTTAAATAAACAGTTATGGTACAAATTTTGCAAATCATTCAGGTGAATTATAGCATCTTGGAAACTATTTTAATAAAATCATTTTTATTCTTTTTCTTCATTTTCCTTAAAGTCACCTCTAAAGGTATTTCTCTGTTATATTATATGTAATCAGCTTTTAGCTAAAGAACAAGCAGTAATAAATGAAGACTACCAGAGCCTCAAAAATGATACTGAAAAAATGGGGATAATTAGAAAGCAACAGAAGTTCAAACATTAAAATTCTGACAATATTAGATGAAATCAACCTAAACCTGGTAAATCAGTTTTCAGAAAACTAGGCACTTATGCTTTCATTTTATATCCAATAACTGCATCAAACCTAACATTGATTTTTCGTTTTAAAGCTACCAGGAAACGGTCAGGAAAGATCCTAAAAGAAAGACATATAAAAATAATTAGAAAATTAATATTAAGTGCATTTGTAGAATACCTTCTTTAGAAATACTTTTAAGTTATTATGTATCATCATGTTCATCTTAAATAAGATTAAGCACTTTAACTCTGCGTCATTACTATATATTCTTTCCTATTGAATCTATTTCCTTTCAAAATATAAAGAAGGCTTTTAAAAGAAGGCTTAGCTTTCTTTAGAGTAGAATCACTGGAAGTAGTCAGGTTTTGAAACAAATATACTCGTATTTTTTGAAAGATCTAAGAGAGGAGGTATAAGAACTGAACAGTTGAGCTACTAAAGACTTCACAAAAAATACCCCGATATTAAAAGGGAAATGAGAGTAGGAACTAATTTTATACTTTATAATGCAGAATATTATTAAAATGTTCCACTAAGAAGCTGGGGAAGTATAATTGCTAAATAAAAATGCAGACAACACATTTGGTTTTGAGCATAATGCTGAACAAATTATTTAAGTTTTTAGTTTAAATTCCTCATGTGTAAATGGAAAAACTGGCACCTATCCCTCAGTGTTCTTTTGTGGAATCAATGGGTTAATATATTAAATAAGGTGTGTTGAACAGTGACAGACAGTAGCAGGTCTCATCTTTTTTCTCCAGACACCACACTCTAGGACAGGCAGCAAGATGCTTTTTCTCCCAGCTGTCCTAAGGCACCTCTGCTCTTTCCTCTCTTTGTGGCCAGCCTCCTTGTTATTATGAGACATTCCTGAAACCAGTGATTTCCAATCTTGGCTGGATAATTGAATCACCTAGAAAGTTGTTTTCTCTCTCAAAGCCCAGGCTGCACTCCAAACCAAGTCAATCAGAAATTGAGGGAGTTGGTCTCAGGCACTGGCATTTTTTGAACCTCCCACGTAAATTTCAATGTGCATCAAAGTTGAGAGCTGCTGCTCCAAAGAAGTGCTTCTCAGTTATTAATATGTATACAAATCATCTGGGGGAACTTACTGAAATTCAAATTTTGATTCAGGAGATCAGGAGATTCTGTACTAACACATTTCCAGGTAATACTGATGCTGCTAGTCTAAGAACCACATTGGAAGAAGCAAGGCTCACGAATTTCTTAAATTATAAAAATAATTTAGCAATTCACACACTTTAGTATGATTTTGCACAAAACAAAAGCTCAATGATTATCTGTTGTATCTTTAAGTAAATACCTAAAACTTAACTCTGGTCTCCTTTAATATCATTGTTCTATGATTCCATTATATAAAGACGCTTAAAAACTATCCTTCTTCAGAGTCATTTATTTATAAGACAAGACTTGCAGAAATATACAAATTCCTTTTTTTTACAAAAAATAAAAATATATGGAAATTACTCATTTCATTTATCCAGGAGCTGTATCAATATTGCTTTAATAATTAACACATGTGGTTGAAAAAAACTGATGGCATATTTATTAAGCCTGTTATTTCTATGAAGTCAATTCCATCTAACTGTACTTTAACAACTATCTGATTTTAAATGTCGGTAAAAAAATATAATAGATAATTTTTATTCTACTTTTCATTTCTAAGGCTGACAAACCTGTCACTTACCTTTCCAATATTGTTAAAAACGCTATAGAAGATGGAACAAAAATCATTTTCTGCTCAGTCAGAATCCCATTCATCAGCCTGTTTACCACTTCCTCAGGTTCCAGAGTGGGTCCCAAACTGAAATCAGAGGCAGTCTTCAGAAACAAAATTCTTCACCCTTTACCAAGGCTTCAGCTTTAACTAGTTTGTTAGCTGGTGTTAACAAACAGCTTTAGTGTGGTACAGACACCATAACATAACTGATTTGTAGTGTCTAGCCTAGTATAGGTGCTCAGAAATGATAGCTACTTTACCATTGATAGTAATAACCACCATTCACTTAGTGCTTGTTGTGTGCTGCACACTATGCTAAACTTTCTACATAGGTTATTCCACTGAAGTTTGATAATAACCTTATGAAGGCAATATTATAATTCTTTTTTTTTTTTTTTTTT